CCCCTTCACTGCCCTTCCCTCCGCACTTCCCCCACTATCCCCAGGAAATGGCCACAGCCCACTAGTTATTCCCCCTTTTCCTGATAGCAACCCATTTCCTATCCTCTTTTTTAGAAACGTTAGCAACTATTGGGTTGTCAGAAAAGTCATGATGCATTTTTGCAATGAAAAACATAGAAAAAATACTTCATACTTTTCCAACAACCCAGTATATTCAGATAGTTAATCCGTAGTTCCCAGAGTAAACATGGCCACTGAGACATATATACTGGGATGACCAAGTCCAGCTTCCTTGGGTGGCAGTCATTGGAGGCACTGTGCTCTGAATATTCCTGGGAAGGCTCTGCAATCAAAACAAAGTCTGTTCCACAGTCCCACTAGTTTGCCCCAAATTATTCCTTTGGTTCTGCTCTTTATCATGATGTTCTCCTTATTTATGTCCCCCATGGAAGTGAGAGTTTCTTCCTCCCTAAGTCCCACACCTCTTTATCTGTCTTATGATGGCATTTGTCACTTTCTTGTTGTATGGTTCTCTTTATGCACCTGTCTCATCTCCCTTCCTAATTATAAGCTCCTTGAAGGAAAAGGAAAGCCACTGAACCATATTCTCTCTATCTTCAAATTTTCCTGTTGTATAGGGGGTACAAAAACCACATATACAAAAACAACAACCGTTTTCCCTTTCCACTTGGAAATCACTCCCTTCCTTCTCTATTGGCCCTTAGGTCCCTTTTGGAACATGGAACACTGTTTATTCATGAATGATTCTGGTTCCTCTTCAGGGAAGACTTTCTTATTATTTATCTCAGTGGTTTAAACACTACAGAGAGAGAGTTGGGGTTAATTTATGTCAATCTTCCTCTTGGAATAAAAGAATGGGGCTGGGCCGCAAGGACTCCTTTAATTCTTGCTCCAAGTGTTACTGAGACAACCAAAGACCTACCTAATGCAGATGAGAAAAGACAACCTGTGTTTCAAAGCCAGTCACGGTGCCCCACCTTCTTGTTTAGGGCAGGACTGAACTTTGATCTTCTCTTTAGTGTTACTCACTGTTTACTTCTCACGAGTTTCTGTGTCTGCCTCTTTCCCAGTTCTCATCAATAACCAACACAACTTCTACCAGTTGGGCACTCCCTAAATTTGAAAGTGATTGACACCTCTGGAAGAGCAGGGTAGGGAGATAGTTAGTTCAAAATAAACTTTCAGAGTGGGTAGAGAATGTTTTAGCCAGAGAGTTTTTTTGGTTTCTGGGAATTTAAATCCTTTCAAGGAAGCTCAAGTGCTCAAGTGCATTATAGACTGCAAAGAAATCCTACAGAAATACACTTGAAGTAGAGGCAGCAGGTCCTCTTAGGAAATGGAAAGTCACTGGAAGGTTGCATCTCTCCCTTATCTCTACATGCTCATTTTATCCTGATTTATCTGCAGACCCTCTTCTTGATTCATTCACCTACTTGCAGGTCGTTACCATAACCACCATCCAATAGCTGTCCCATTCCCCGAGTCTGTATGATCTTCCATTTCCCCTCCCATAACTAATTGATTCAATCTCTAGGTCCCAATTCCAAGTCCTGGGAAGAGTAAATCTGATTGAACTTGCTTAAGTGTTTATCCAGACTAAATACTGTGTGAGAACTGGGAAGATGAGAGAGGGGAGGAGAAATTTCTGAGGTATGTATGGGTTGGACAATCTCTTTATAGACAAGTGGATGGGAGAACATTTTGAGTATATATGCAAAGATGCAAGGCCAGTATGCACCCTGTACCAGCTTGAATATGAATCAAAGTTATGCCTTCATTCCAACACAATATGCCAGCTTTTCAATGGTCCTAACTGGCCCAGGAGTCCACTTTTCAGTTAAGTTTCTGTATTGAGTGATGAACCTCTGGGAATAGACTGAGAAGGACAAAATCTTTGGAATAAGTCTCTCAGTAGTCTATTGTCAGATGGTCACTACATCAAGGGTCTTTGCTGTCAAAGAGAGCAATTTATGTCTGTGCATGATTCACAGATCCTCCATTTGGAAACAGTTTTAATCACAGTTTATTATTCAATTTAGGTTTAAGGAAACAGTTTGCATTTCTGAGAACACTCACTTCCCAAAGCATATTTCTTGAGGTTTAACAGCTCTTCTCTTTGTTTTTCAGGGACTGGTAACTGGAGAATGGAATTGGAAAGTTTCGATCACCCCAAATGTAAGAAAGGAAGAGCTGCAGTGTTTATGTTTTCTTGAGTGGTTTTTCTGGACTGTGGCCTCTTTCAGAGAAGCAATTCTATCGTGCTCTAGGATGTCCTCCCAAAGAACCTATGTCACCGTGTGCACCATATTGACTGGTGGGTTCAGTGACTGCATGAAGGCTGTGAGGTGATAATATTAGTAGTAGAAATAGTAGCAACAACAGCAACCACAATCATTTCAGTGGCTAGTTGTTAGAACTCCCCAGCATTTCATATCCATTACATTATTTAATCATCTCTACGAAACTGCAAATGTGGCAGTATGTTATTACACAGAGAAAAATTTAGATAAGTTGATTTTCTTTGTTCTTTCATCCAAACAAGACAGTGGACTTAGGTTATGTCTATACAATGCCCAACAGCTAGTCAAATCATGGCAATTTGGGAGTCTCACATATACATGCAAGGCAGTTTGCTGAACTCATTTTTATTTGTGTTAGAGTGTCTTTACTGAAATAGTCTAGTGGTTATTTCTCACTATCACTATTTATAAAATAGCATCTTGTTAACTCTGCACAAAGTAAAATAGAAGCTTCAATACAAGGCTTGTTTTGGGCTATGTACCCTACCAACTAATTCAAAACAATACATAAAGTTTAGTCCATTAAACCACAGGTACGATCAATGTCCCATAAAGGCCAGAAAAGGGGAAAAAAAGGACTTTGTGACTAGTTACACATAAAAATCAATGTGTGAGTTCCTATAAGTTACATAAAAACAATAATAGTGACGCCATTTTATTCCCCACACACTGTAACACAGATAGATCTTTAATATCAGCATTCCAAAGTGTTCCAGCCATTCTTTACTGGGTTTAAATAATAAAGGAAAAGACATTTCTCAGTACTAATAAAATATTATTTATGATTTCCCACTCATAAAAGCTGCATTATTAACCACTGTGTTCTAGTAAATATTTTACATTTCGTCAATATTTGCAATGGCATTAACAACGTTCTCCTTATGAGACTTCAGTCAGGAACACCTTCATTGAGCACCACATTCACCTTATTTTTAAATTTTCAAAGTCTATTATCTACATTAGATCTCTCCTAGGTGTCTAAATCAATGAGATGTGCTGGACAAAAAAAAGTAAGTTGGAAATTTGAGAGTTTTGAAGAGTGTTAAAGAGTTTTCAAACACTTGAGTGTGTTGAAGTCATTTATTGGTGTCACCTGGGACTTCTAGTGGAACCTTAATCCTCTGGCTTTTGGTGTCTATAACTTTGAAATGGGACTAACACTTGTTTTCAAAATAATGAATTTGATCTTTTGCTTCCCTCTTAACACAAGTATTGCAGTAATCCTGAGTGCAGGAAGCTTTTCTTTACTTCGTCAGAGTAGAAAGGCCGGGTCATGCTACAGAGAACATGAGGGGTTTAGGGTCAGATAGAGCTGGATTTAAATCCAGAGTTCATCACTTATTAGTTTGAGACCTTGGTTACAACACAACCTCTTTGAGCTTTAATGTTGTCATCTATAAAATAGAGATAACAGTTATCTCCAAGGGAAGTGATGAAAACTAAATAAAATAATCTAATCAAAATGCCTCGCATAACAGGCTCTCAGGAAATATTGGGTTGTCGGAAAAGTCATGACATATTTTTTCTATGTTTTTTGTTGCAAAAATGCATCATGACTTTTCTGACAACCCAATAGTTTTCCTCCCCTATTATATTATGCAAGATGTTATAATCAACAGTTTCTGATAGTTTGGAGAAAAAAATTCTTCCTGTTTTATGGAGATGTTTCAAGAACATATTAAAGATTACTGCTTTCTTGGCTCATGCATGGTGAATAGAGTGGGTTTCCTCTTTTTTTCTATATCCATCTGTTCACCCTTATATTCATTTATTCACCATACTTACATTGATTGCCCATTAAGTTTTGGGAATATTTGAGAAAAACTGATTCAGGGATGTAGGTTGGGGTGGGAGTGTCTCTTGTTGCTGTAATAACATCAGAGAATTTAGCTTTTACTTTATTAAATAAATATGAATGTACATATACATTTTAAGTGTCTAGCAGTCACTGGCTCAAATCTGGGCAGGTGACCTGGACTTGGCGGGGTGGGCACATTAGTTTACATCCCTCACTTTTAAGAATGAGTCTTATTATCTTTGGTCAGTTACGAATGTCCTTTAACTTCATTTTTAATAGGATATTTTTGGTGCTGAGAATCAAATTTTTAAAAAGTGGTTGGAGCAAAAAGTCAGGGAAGCAGATTGTTTCATTTTCACTGTAAGTAGCTGCCAAAGTGAATCATCATGACTGTAACTTCATGTAGTCCCCAAATCATCATTAGAATAAATATGTTCCCTCCAGGTATAGCTCCATGTCATTTTATTTATTAATTAATTCTTTTGAATGCTGTTGAACCATTCTGAAGATAACCCTACTGAAATTGATCCAGGCCTGTTTGGGGAGAATGGCTGAAACAGCCAATGGGAAAGGAAAGAAGTTACCAGTGTGCACAGGTGAAACCTGTCCTTAGCTGCACATCTATGGTTATTGTTCATGAGTGCTGGAAATGGTCTACCAGTTAGAACAAACCCTTGAAACTAGAAGGGAGTAGCGTTGTATTCATTATTCAGTGCTATCCTACCAAACCGGGCCATTAGCTGTCATGGGTTCCTGGGCAGAGAAGGACCAGCAGCGCCTTTGCTTAAACCTCCTTCTTTTGTGTTCTGAAGAAACAGCCTCCAGGCACCTATGGTTAAAAGGACAGGTCAGCTCTTCCATAACTGAGAACACTTTCAAGACCATTCAAGTCACGGGGCCTATTTTGGTTGAGACGTGGGACAAAACCATCCTCTTGCAGGAACTAGTTCTGTTGTCCCTCTTGTCTTTTAAAGTCATCAATGGCACACCAAGCAATTTGGATTGTGCTACCAGTGTGGTTCAGCTTGGTTACATTGTTTTGTTGACTTGGCTGTTCACCTTCGGTCTCTTCGTATTTGCATTATTTAAAAGCCTTCTTCTTAAAAATTTAGACACTTCAATTTAATATGAGCAAACTAGAAAAGGTTTCTTTAATTTGGGCAAGACCCACCTAACCATTTGTCAATATTCTTGCCGGTCTGTAAGTGAGTATGTTTCTACACATTGGGACACAAACACACTCGATCTACTAGAATTGGATGGAGGTTGACCACTCCAAAAAGCAGACATAGATTGTATTAGAAATGACAGGACACCTGGGAAAGTGTCTACAACCTTCAAATTTTTGATATCTGTCTTTGGTTCCTGAGTATTAGGATCTATCAAACCATCAGATGGGACAAACTGGCTGGGGCTGAGTGTTAGTTAGAAATACAAGTCAAAGTGGAAAAAGCAGTAGTCACATCTTAAGGACTGGATGGTTAGTTAGGAGTCCTAGGTCCTCAGCCCAGCACAACCATTAATTATCAGGGTGAACTGGAACACATCACCTCGGGGGTTCAGTGTCCTTTTCTGTATAAGAGATTTGGTCTATATGGAAAGCTGGTCAACTATGGGCTGTGAGCCAAATTAGCTCACTGCCTGTTATTGTAAGTCAAGTCGTGCTGGCACACAGCCCTGGCGACTTATTTAGGTATTGGCTATGACTGCTTCCCCACTAGAAAGGCAGAGTTGAATAGCTGCAACAGAGACCTTATATTTATATTTTGGACCCAAAGCCCCCAAATATTTACTGTCTGATCCTTTACTGAGAAAATTCATTCAACTCTGGTCTAAACGATCTCTATTATTCATGTTGTAAACTCTGTAGTTTCTCTATATCTTGAATTAATATTGTTCTATAAGCACAGAAGAAGCACATGTTTCTCAGTGTCTCATAAATGGGGTAATTACTTATTTTCACTCTGAAGGCCAAGATACATGCACTTGACAATACATGGGGCTTGAGGGGCAAGAATCAGATCCTCAAAGAGATGGAAAACAAGATAGAAGCTGATGGGGAAGATGAGGACCTGGAGGAGTTTGGAGAGATGAGAGAGGAGTGTTCAGCGTGTACTAGGCTGTGTTATGGTTGTGTAATGAGGACCTTCCCACTCAGCAATGTTACTGGAATGAGGCTGGACCAGCTGGTTGGTGGAGGGGGTTTCCCCTTTGGGAGATGCTACTGTGATTCATGTATGTGGGCTGATGGCAAAGAAGTTCTGAGTTGGGGGGTGAGGGAAGGGAGAGAAAGAGAGAGAGCGATGGAGGGAAGGGATGAGCAAGCTAAGACACCAAGATACGGTAAGTATTTACCATGACCAGTACTCTGTGCAAGGCACTATGGAGGATACAAAGGAGAACGGATATAATGCCCACACCGAGAAGCTTAGTTTTAAACCAGAGGCTGAAAGACAAGGGCATGGCTTCTGGTAGAATGGGGAAAAGTACCACAAGGAAGGGCAGAGCAGGGTGGATGGAATTCATTTTAAAGAAAAATATATCAGAAAATGCGTAGATTAACCAAGTCTCACATTTTATATCCAAATCCTAGTAAAGCCTAGAAATGCTAATGATTAAAATTTCTGCTGAAAACAGGCACATTTCTCTGTATTTCTCAGCCTGGTAAATAGGATCTATTTCTTTTCTCTCCACTTCATCACTCACCTTTGTGCCATTTCTGATCCACGTCTCGGCCACACTGACCCTGTGCCATTTCCTTTAATAAACCACATTTGCTCTTGCTTCCAGGCCTTGTCATGCTGGTCAGACCAGAATTCTCCCCATGCCGAATGCGCCCTTCCTCCTCTTCTTCCTATGTGCCCTTCAGACCTCACGCAATCCGTGCACCATCTCCCCCAGGAAGCCTTCTCTGACGCCCAAGGCTGGGTCACGTTCCCTTCCTATATTTTATCTCAGTATCAGGCCCCTTCCCCGTTATACTGCATGATAATTTCCTGTCCATTTAAAAGATTAGTTTGGGTTTTTGCAGAAGCAGACCCTGAAACAAGGATTTTACATGCATATAGTTTAGTTAGTGCATATCCTAGATAAAACAAACAAGCAACAAAACAAAATGTCAGGAAAGTAGGGAAGTGAGACAGAAAAAGGAAGGTGGAAAATAAAGGAATCTTTATGAAGTGAGTTGTCACTGTGGGTAATAGGAACGAGGTCCCTCTGGGGACTCTGAGGGCCAGTTTAGAGCATGCAGGTGAGGGAGCTGGGGGATTCGCTCACCACATGTTTGTGCACACCAGCAATTTGGCCACAGGCTTGGGCAGCCTTTGAAAAGCTATGCCTTCGACCCTGCAATTCCTCATCTGGAGGTTTATCCTATGAAAATTCATGTGTATCTCTAATATTATCCCCAGTACTGTTTATATTTTTAAAATGTGGAATTGACAGTAGCAGTTAATAATAGAATACTCTGCCACCTTAAAAACGATTATATACGAAGGTCTGACAGTTAAGTTTGCGAACTTGTTGTGACGATGTTNCAGCAAAAAAATAAAAATAATAAAGGAAAGCTACTACTCATTCTTTGGTGACGTATGTCACATATCCCAAAGAGTTAAGAGGAACTTGCCTCCCCCGGACCCATGCACGTTTGATGGTTCCAAAGCGACCTGCTTTGACTTCCTCAGGAGTGGCTGGGTTTTGGGAGCAGAGAAACGCTGTATAAATCTGGGATGCGTGATGGAACAGAACCTACTGATTCTTTCGTTCCAGATTCTGCCACTTCTCTGCTGTGTACCCTTTGGCGTCTTACTTAACTTCTCTGGGTCCAAGTTTTCTTCTCAAAAGGAAGATTAAGTAAGATATCATAAAAAAGTGTGGCACAGAATAGACAATCTGCAAATATTTGTTCCTTTCCCTTGGAAAAAAATTAGCATCTGGATTTATCAGGCCAACCAACTTTTGGATCTGGGTTGGTGCCTGGGTCAAGGTTTATGAGCTATGTGAAGATGTGTGATTTAAAAATTCCAAAGGCACCTACCTGGGTTATTGCGTGTAATCTCCTCACTGATCTCCTTGCTTCTGCCCTTGACCTCCTAGTGAAGATAGAGCACGTCGCTTTGGAATCATCTGCTGACTCCCCCTCTTACTCAGAGTGAAAACCAAAGCCAGTAAGTACATTGGCCTAAAAGCTCTAATCGGTCTGGCTTCCACAACCTTCCCTCCTAATCTCCCTGCCCTCCTCCCTCTGCCTTGCTCCAATGCCCTTCTTGCTGTTCCTCCAACTGGATGCACAGGCCCGGAATTCCCGATCACTCTCTCTTCAAACCTCACTCAGTGATTTGAATTTTACTGGATACATTTGGTCCTAAAACATGGAGGTCATATTTTTTAAAATCCCCCAAAGGACAGAGCACAAACTGTTCGTCTAACTTGCATGCATTGTTCGTTTCTGTGATTCCTAAAGCACTTTTATTCTAGGAATCCTATAACTTGATGACTGACTTATACTCTGCCTGGGTATAAGTTGGGTTACTTGTATTTTAATTATTGAATTATAAGAGTTCTTTATATGTTCTAGACACAAGCCCATTATCAAATATACAATTNTGGATAGCTGTGCACTTTTCCTTTCTGGTTAGCTGGGATTCTATTTGGTGTGGTGGCATTTGTCTATATATTAGATGTGGAATCATTTCTCTCTAGGTTTTAGATTTTTTGGTTTTCATATCCCAAAGAAAGCCTAAATTTCCTGCTCCCTGATAGGGAGCAGAGCACAGGGATGGGTTGGGAATATTTGCATGTCCATAGGCAGAAATGTGTGTGGAGAGGCAGCTGGACTGCGAGGCTGGCTCAAGAACTAAGCACCTGGACCTTGGGCAAGTCACAAACTCCAGGGCTCAGTTTACTTCTCAATAAGACAAAGGACATGGACTAAATCACTGTTTTTCAAACTTTATTTTAGCAGAGGAATCTTTTTTTTTTCCAAAGAAAACATTCTACCTGATCACGTTTTGTCGATGAAACAGATTTTTAAAAACAGAGTGATCCTGGTTGAGATAGAGAAGGGACTCATGTTCTGACTGACAGCCTTCCCCGGCTCCCTATCTACATCTGGACACCCCGAAGAAGTCCAGACCTCAGAACACAGAATGAAACTAGACTTGGCCTTGGCTCCTGCTCTTTCATCTCTAAGTTCATGGAGTTTTTTTTTTAAAGTTAAAGTCTATTGGGGTGACAATTGTTAGTAAAGTTACATAGGTTTCAGGTGTACAATTCTGTAATACATCATCTATATATTGCATTGTGTGTTCACCACCCAGAGTCAGTTCTCCTTCCATCACCATATATTTGATCCCTTAGACTCTCGTCTACCACCCCCCTTCCCCACATGGAGATTTTTTTGGGGGTTTTTTCACCCATCTCCCCA